ATGATGATGATGATGATGATGATGATGATGATGATGTTCATGCAAACTGTTTCTTAAACACTCGTAGTCAGACTGTGCCGATACTACTTCTTAAGCATCACCGCTGAAAACTACTCAACAACGCGACTTGTGGAAGCACTGAAAACCAACGCTGCCAGCAAGACCAAGAGACTGAGTGAAAACATTGGTGGTGTCAACGTGGTTTTATCTGTCATCTGAAGGCGGTAGCGGCTGAAGGGATGCTTGTCCCGACGCCAGCCCACCACGCGAGTTTCTAGTCCTTCACTTGGCAATGGAAACTGTAACTTGTATGCATCGTTGACAGCCAAGCAAGCCATAAAACTTCATGACAGGATTCCTAGGGTCATACAAAGACAGAACAAAGTCACATAAGGGCCATAAGGCCCCTAATGGCATGAAAGGGGCCCTTACCTTCTTCTTTGTTATTCTTTTTCATTTTTTTCAGGACCTGGAGGTGGGAAGACGCAATGGGCTGTAGTATGACGCTTGATCTCACTTGTGTTTACAAGCTACTCCTGCATGACTAGTGGAAACAGTCCTAGAACTTTCCTCACCATGTAGCTCAAATGTAGATCTTCGCCAGTCAGCTTTGATGGTGGCGGCTCGCGCAAAAACGCTCTTGAAATCCAGCTGCCTTCCTCAGTGCCAACCTTGTGCCACTAGAGTTGCTGATCTACTTGAGCTGAACAAAAGTGATCTCCCCGCTAAAAAAAACGACTCTCACACATATTGTAGATAAAACACATCATGATATGATTATGTAACTAGCTAAAATCCAAATATGCTGTACGCACATTCACGTGCAGTTCATGCCACATTCATTTCTTGATGTTTCTCTTGTCAGTGCAGTTCTCTTGGGCCGCCAGGTTGCAAGAAACCATGCTGCATTTGCATAGTCAACCACAGTGGGCTTTTTGGGTCTATTGATCCACCTGCCAGCTTATGGAAATGAAACAGCTTGTCTGGACTCAAATATGTCTGAAAGGATCAACAAAAGAAAGGCGGGCTGGGCGAGTCCGCAAATGTGACAAACACTTTGTCTCAAAGCTTCAGGTCTTCAAGGCGAATAACCTTGCCCTCTCTCTCTCTCTCTCTTGCTTGTTTCAACTGTATACTGCCAAAAAATAGTTTCTGTTGGGCTGCTTGATTGAAAATAGAATGGCAATGTAAGTGAACATGCAAATTCGTTCCACTTGATCGACGACGCAAACACCACAACGCAATCACTCTTATATCATCTGTATATATATATATATCCGATATATATATATACATCATTCGAATTCATTCGACGTCTGTTTTGATAGTGCCTCCCTCCCGCCTGGCCAAATCAGGGTTGCTGCTATGGAGGTGCCCTACGTGGCCCCAAATGCCTGCCAGCGCCACACGTGACCCATAGACCTCTAGGCCGGCACAAAGCACGGCATGATACTTCGGTTGCCCGCACAGCATGCGTGATTGAACATTGTAAGTGTCCCGGGTCCATGAATGCACACTTGTGACCATGTGCCTTTGGTGTCGGTCAGGTTCTCAAATGTCTTTGTGGCCGTGACCCAGTATATATAACCAATTCAATTATGCTATATATAACTATATACAATAAATCTGTATATACATATAGATATAGAATATATTATATATACATAATAGATCATGATAGTGTTGTTGCCGAAGGTGGCAAAGAAAGCAGAAGCACTATGCCGTAAGTTGAGTGAAATTCGTGGCCCTCGCCCAGCCCAAACCCACCGATTGTCAGCCTTGCTGTTTGCGCATCTGCTTCAAATAGAACTCGATCGCACTCACAGGAAAAGTGACATCGTCATCCACGATGTAGACATACCTTTCCAGCTGGGCAGAGTCCGACAAATTATCGTCACAAACCATACAACAAGCCGCTCTGGCATCACCCAGAGGGGCACAATGTAGACTACTGGTAAGCTAGAAGCTACAGAAGCTACTACTGTAATAACAAGGGCATCGTAATACTAGTAGCTTCTTGTTACTAGTAGTAATGCCCTTGTTACAAGTAGCGATCCCCTTGGTACTAGCTTCTGGAACACAGTGATGCAAAGCAAACCAATGCTGCGTGGCGCTTTGTCTTGACGAAGGACGCCAGGAAAAATCGGCCGTATACTCCGAAGTCAACCTTGAGTCAAGCATCAATATGACCAAGAATGAGCTTCACAGCATGAATCAATTTCCTCATAGACACCAGTGAGTGGCATTGCTTCCAAACTGATTTTCATCAGGCTATGCACATGTTCCATGTTGACTTCGTCTTCAGGTAGCATCGCTTCTGATCAGCTTCACTTTGGTTGCGTTTTCGGTAAGCTTGGCCAAGATGGCCTGAAGAAAAGAACTTGAATGGAAGAAAGTGTGTCGGCCAAAAGGCTTCATCAGCCTTGACCAAACCGTGAGACATAGATGGGCGAATCCCTTCGTTTGACACGCGAGCATCGGAATGTTGCCATTTCGATTCACTTTCATTGCTAAACATTCTGTTATCTCTTAAGTCATGAGCAAAACAAGTTGGGCTCGTAGCCTGATACTCATCCTCGAAAGAGGAACCAAAAATGCAAATCCAAACTTCAGTTGAAGGCCCAGCGCTCGCAGCTCTCCTCGGGCAGCTTGGCACGCATCAATCGGGTGCCAAGACCCACTCATGATTCAGTCTGCTTTGCTGTTTCTGCAAGTGGTTCACTTGATCTGATCTCTGCCTGTGCATGACCATGTGGTACCCAGGCTCAGCTGTCCCAACAAATTTTCTGCTGGTCGCTGCCAGTGATTCAGGACCACAGTGACCTAACAATCGTCCCAACTTCATGCTCCTAGCTGCACTTGATTGAAAGGAAACAATCAGTTTGACACTGCCATTATGATCCATTATGGCATTGGAGCCAGCCTCATCATCTGGCCAACTGCAAGTGTAACATGTTGCTGCTTAATGATCATTCACAGCCTCGTCTGAATGAGCTGAATGTTCCAGCCCTTGATGATGCTGTGCTAAGCGGGAATCCTGGCACTGGATCATTTTTCAAAAAAAGTGAAGCAGTCTGAAAGAATAAAGGAGACTTTACAAAACCATACTAAACCAATGTTGATGCTGAGTTGACTCTCTGTCAGCCTACTGGTTTCTGCTCGAGCGGTAGTCAAACACTCGATGAGGTGTGAACAATTCAACTGCATTCTTTTTTATTGGAGAAGTTGACAACTATTGTCAGATATCCAGAGCCTGCTGCAAGCAAAGACCACCTTCTTTGTGACAATCGTAAATGA